CCATCTACATCAACGCAACTGAAGTTGGGATGGTAAAGAGCATCAAGTTCCTCGGAGTGATGATAACTGACAACCTGTCCTGGACTTCCCATGTAGATACAACAGTCAAGAAGGCACAACAATGCCTCTTCTTTCTCAGGCAGCTCAGGAAATCTGGCATGGCCATAAGGTCCCTCACCAAATTCTACAGGTGCACCAGTGAAAGCGTACTGTCTGGGTGCATCACAGCCTGGGATGGCAACTGCTCTGCCCAGGACTGTAAGAAACTACAGAAGGTGGTGTGCATGGTCCAGGCCATCCATGGACTCCATTTATGTGGCTTGCTGCTGCGGAAAGGCTGCCACAACATCAAAGACCCATCGCACCCTGGTAATGATCTCCTACAACCTCTTCCATCAGGCAGAAGATACAGAAGCTTGAACACATGCACCAGCAGGCTCAGGGACAGCTTCTTCCTGGCCCATAACAGACTGATGAATGGCCTCTCTAACCTCAAATAGCGCTGATCTTGCTAACATTGATCTCACCTAGCGCATGCCCTATGCAATGTAACCATATGCCTCTGTCTAAGTCTTTTTGATCTGTACATCCTTTGCTTATTATGATGTGCCTGTACCACTCGTAAAGAAAGCTTTTCACTGTATTTTGGTGCACGTGACAATGAATAAAATAAATCAACAGAAATCTTCGCATCAGAGCAAGGTAGTGTATTGATATAGCAACAGACTGGAAGGTTGATGTCATTCTTATAGACAAGTCACAAGGCAGTCACTCAATCTCCATTTGGTGTAACAATGTAGAGGAGACTATTGTAAGTGGTATAGCAGAATAGATTGAAACAAATTGTATTTGGCTGTTAAAGTGTGCACAGAAAGGTGTGTACACTAACCAGTAAACAAAAATTCCTGTGGGATTTGAAAACTTACTGCAACTACCATCAAGCGTGCCATTGTGCATGCGACAAGCTAAAGAAGGATCAAAAGCACTTATATTTAAATCCACCAGCAAATGCACCATTTTCAACTGCAAGCACGGACATTTTCAAAATCTGCTCAACTCTAACTTTCATAAACAATGGATCAGAGCAAAAATAGAGTAAATTTACTCCACAGGTTAGTGGGAAACCTGGGCCTACCAGTGTATGCAGAGCCTTTTGATCCAGAGAGGAATTGATGAGGACAATCGACAAATCTTGCTCCACTGACAAGCCTGTTATTCGTCATGTATGTCAGTATTGAAAAAGCTAATGTCTTTTGCAGTACCTCCTTGACAACGTTTTATCAATTTCCCGTTTAACTATTATCAAAGAGTGGAATTTTGTCAAGCTCTTTTGCAGCATCAGCTCCTAATATCACACCTACAATTTATATTTACAAGCAGACATTATTAAGGTCTCGACAATGGTACAGAACTTCTTTGATTTTGCTATACGCTTAGCCATCAGGTGACTAGTCTTGAGCTTTATCCGATGGCACACACACACCATCAGATTATGAGTCTGCTTGATGTTTTGATCTCTCAAGCTTTGAAATACTGTGTGTGTTTGTTCCCCAGAGATGTAGGTTTCATCTGTAAATAACATCTTAAACCTACTTGGTATCATCCCAGTGTTTGCTATCTTCTCTTTCAAGACAAGACATTCAGGTATGGGACAAGACACCTACCGCTCCTTTCCCTGTCCACATTTTTATAAATCAGACCATAAGGCTGTGGTCCTTCTCCTGGGTTACAAGCAGAAACTGAAGCATGAGGAACCCGTACAGAAAGTTGTACATTGCTGGTCATCCCCTATGTGATTGCCTGGAGTTGGGGGACTGGTCCATATTCAAGAACTCAGAAGCCAACCCTAAATGGGCATGTCACTACTGTCACAGACTTCATCAGCAAGCGTGTAGAGGCCTGCGTGCCGAAAAAGTTAATCCCAGTGTTCCCCAACTGGAAACATGGATGAAACGAAGATCGACTCCCTTCTGAAGTCCAGATCTGAGGCATTCAAGTTGGGTGACCCTGACCTATACGGAAAATCTAGGTACGACCTTCGCTAAGCCATCAGGGGCAACAAGAGACTGCACCAGACTAAACCAGGGTCCTGACTAACTGCACAAATACACGTCGACTGTAGCAAGGCTTACAAGATATGACGGGTTATAAAGTCGAGTAGAATCACTGACAACAGTGCATCCCTCCCTGATCTGCTCAATGCATTCTATGCTCGTTTTGACAGAAGGTCAGTGAAATGATGTCACCAGCCCTGAGAGCCTTAGTGCAGCTGTGACCCACAGTCATTGCTGCAGACGTTATATCAGCCTTCTTGGGGGTGAACCCACAGAAAGAAACTGGCCCAGAAAGAGTCCCTGGGCGTGCACTCAGTTCCTGCACAGAGCAGCTGGCAGGAGTTTTGGAAACATCTTTAACCTCTCCTTAGTGCTCCTCTTGAAACAGGTGGGAGTAGTATCATTTATGTGCCAAAGCCCAATCAGGCAAAGTGCCTTAATGACTACCGCCCAGTGGTTCTGACATCCATTATGAAGTGCTTCAAAAGGTTAATAATGGCACACATCAACTTCAGCCTCTCAGAATACCTTGATTAGCTATAATGCCTACTATCACAATGAGTCCACCATAGACACCATCACCCTGGTACTACGTTCATCCCTGGAATGTCTGGATAACAAGGACACCTACGGCAGATTCCTATTTATTGACTTTATCCCTGCCTTTAACTACCATAATTCCAACAAAAATCATCTCCAATCTCAGAGACTTGATTCTGTTCCCCACACCGCCACAAATGGATCCTTGCCTTCCTGACCCATGGGAACACAATCAGCAAGAACAGGCGACCACACCTCCTCCACAATAATCCTCAACACTGGTGTCCTGCAAGGACAGGTACTCAGCCCCTTACTTAACACCTTATACACTCAGAACTGTGTGGCCAGATTCAGCTCCAAATTTGCTGATGACACCACTGTAGTGGTAGGATCTTAAACAACGACAATACAGAAAGGAGAAACATAGCTCATTGGCATGGTGTAAAGATGGTGTAACAATCTCTCCCTTGAAGTTAGCAAAATGAAAGAGCTGGTCATCAACTTCAGGAAGCTGAGTGGAGGATATGCTTCTGTCTGTATCAATAGTGCTTCACATTGTACAGCTGAAGAGGTGTACAGGAGAGGAGAAAAACCACTCAAGTCTAGAAGGAAACTTTAGGATACTGTAATGTATTCCAAATGTTTTCAATATCCTCAAGTTTGTGCTCACGTGCATTCTAGCAAACTTTTCCATTAAACCACACTATAGGACCAAGAGTGCAGTGAAACAAAGTTTGCTGTATTTTAAGTATAGATAGTGGCAAAGTGCACTGGAAGGAACCATTGCAAATTTGAGGGGCAATTCTGAAGAAAATGGCCATCTCTAAACATCTTAGTTTTTTTAAATACAGTTGCAATGGTATGAGAAAAGATGTAAAATACAGTGTGCCACAAGTAACGGTACTGTATCCACTGATTTTTTATTTGTATAAATGATCTGGATGTGAATATAGGAGGCATGGTTAATAAGTTTGCATGACACCAAAATTGATGGTGTAGTGGACAGTGGAGGAGGTTATCTCATAGTACAACACAACCTTATCAGATGGAGTTTCATTTAGATAAATGTGAGGTGTTGCATTTTGGTAAGGAAAACCAGGGCAGGACTTATACAGCCGATGGTAGGGTCCTGGGGAATGTTGCCAAACAAAGAGACCTTAGAGTGCAGGTGCATAGTTCCTTGAAGGTGGAGTCGCAGGTAGAGTCGTGAAGGTGGCATTTTGTACGCTTGCCTTTCATTGGTCAGAGCATTAAGTATAGGAGTTTGGATGTCACGTTTTGGCTGTACAGGATACTGGTTAGGCCACTTTTGGAATTCTAGTCTCCCTGGTATAAGAAAGATGTTGTTAAACTTGAAAGGGTTCAGAAAAGATTTACACGAATGTTGCTGGAGTTAGAGGGTTTCAGCTGTAGGAAGAGGCTGAATAGGCTGGGGTTATTTTCCCCGGAGCATCAGAGGTTGAGGGGTGACCTTACAGAGGTTTATAAAATCATGAGGGACATGGATAGGATGACTAGCTAAGATCTTTTTCCCAGGGTCTAGGAGGCCAAAACTAGAGGGTGTAGGTTTAAGGTGGAAAGGTGAAAGATTTAAAAGGGGACCTAAAGGGCAACTTTTCACACAGAAGGTGGCACGTATCTGGAATGGACTGCCGGAGGCTGGTACAATTACAACATTTAAAAGGCATCTGGATGGCATTTAAATAGGAAGGGTTTAGACAGATATGGGCCAATTGTTGGCAAATGGGACTAGATTAATTTAGAATCTCTGGCCAACATGGACAAGTTGTACCAAAGGGTCTGTTTCTATGCTATACAACCCTATGACTCTATTCACAATAATACCTCAGGCATTTTTCAGATGGATTGTTGAGATCTTGTATAGAGAGAATTGGTTACAAATACAATTGTAAAGGAATAAATGTTGTCTGCAGGAAAATATTTATTTTCCTTTCATGGATCATATTAACACTTACATTATTGTTGGAAAGAAGTTTTTCCAAAGTTTACCACAAGAGATCTGCTTTCCACTTTTGTATATGAACACCCTTGGAACTTCATAATTTGTAAACTAATCCAAAGGAGATCTACTAATGAATAAATAAGAAAATTCTTCCATCTAACAAATCTATCACACTGCAGCTGTAACATGTCAAAAGTGACATTGTTCTGGATCTAAAACACAATTTGTTTTTAACTCAGTGCTTAGAGAGGTTTAAAATGCGTGTTAATATTCCCTGATTGTTGACATCAGTTTAGTAATAATTACAATTAACTTGATTTGCCTATATGACCTCAAAAGGGAATAACAAAGGTTGGCAGTTACATTTGAAATATGTTGTTTGGAGATTACTCATTCCATAATAATGTATACCAGTGCTAAATCTAGAGAGATATCATCCTGATACCACAGATAATCAATGTTTTCCTCTTTAATTAATTTATGACAATTTTTAAAAGCTATTTCAAAGGAATGACAGCTACAGTATTACTGGACTATAAATCCTTAACAGGAATAGATGAGCAATTCAATGGCTTGCTTGTTAACAAAGGCACAAAACAATTTTTTTTAAATTCAGTTTAATGATCTGTGCACATAAAGTAATTGCTACTGATAAAAACTGACAGATTAAATATTTTGTACAAGGCAGTTCTGAGAAATAATTAGATTAATGTTACAAGTGACACTCAATAAAAAGTGCCACTTCAAGTTATAATGCACATACATATGCTTGGATTTTACTGGCCAAAGCCAATCTGCTGTAGTTGTAAGCACACAGTTTAGAATAAGGTGCTCATTAAAGCTGCACAAAGATTTGAAGTCATCCAGAATTAGGAAGCTCAAAACCACACTGCAATTGCATTCAACAAGACTAGAATGGTACTGAAATCTTTTCAGTGAAATAATATGCAATGAAGTACATTTTTATGCATTTCATTTTGTATATGAAGCAAATTAATAAATATTAGAGTTGGTGGTATCCTGCATTTAGTCTTTTTGATGCTATTTGCCTTAATGCATGCTTCAATCACGATATGCAATGGGCTGTCAGACACTGCGGCTTTGATCAGTTTCTTCTGCATCTCTTGCAAGTCTTTGTTCTATACAAATTGCTATCATGAGGCTACTGACTAGCTAGTTACTACTAGTTACTAGCTATTACAGCAAGACTTGAGATTTAAACAGATCTTCAGGTCAGACCACAAAACTTATTCACATGACTCAAGTTTCTAAAAATTATAAACGAAATAAAGTTTTTATGCATGCAATATCTTGGCCTGACCCAAAAAATCTCAATACTTATGTATTGTACAAATGCCTCTGTGCACTCATTTATAATGTCATTTCCTCCATCGCCAACTACAAGACTGAACCTCAGAAGTCAAGCTGAAAAGAGCATTTGCTTTTAAAGATTTAAGTGCTGATATATCAAAAATAAATTACAATTTCTTTGCAAGCTGCAGAACATTTGCTAAGATGGTTGAGAACCCAACAGCCTTTCAATGGCTGCATTGACGTCTCCACCTGTTGCTATTAGAGCTTGAAGATTGGCTTCACGATTCAGAAATCCCATTGCACTGAGCTGATCAAGTTGCTGCTGAAACTGTACCTCGGGATTCGGAGTCAAAGTCTGCTCAGCAATGACATGTAAAGGTAAGAAATGAAAAAAATGTCACTAGGTATTCTCTATTCATAATAAACAGAAGAGTATTTCACAGATCTGCAGGTGCCTATCTTCAGAAGTATGCATTGACAATGAGTGTTGACAGATTATACGATGGAGTACACTGTAATCAATGTAAACTGGTCTTCTGCCAACGAATAACTCCACTCTTGCATGCGCACACATTTTTAAACCGGCAGTCATGGAACTGTAGCTCAGTAGTAACACTGCAGGTTCAAGTCCCATCCAGAAACCTCAAAGGTTTTGAACTTAGAATATGATCAAAACAAAAATAATGCAGAACAGAATAAAACCAAAACAGTATTTATTCAAAGGCATGTACTTTTCCCTTAAACAGGTTCTTCAAATAAGCATTTGACCAGCTGCTTTCAACACACCACAAGCAATTTCACAGGCAGCTTACAGCAAAAGGGAAACAATTACCAAAGACAAAGACAATGCAAACCAAATGAAAATAGAAAATACTGGAAAGTATTCTGTAGAGAGAGAAACAGTTAATATTTTGGATTGGCAACCATTCATCAGAAGAAATGCTTAAACCTGTAGAATCTTTCCACTATTTCCTGCTCTCAATTTAACCTAGAAAAGTAATTTATTGCTTGAGAAGATCAATAAATTATATTAAAAAAACTATGGCTTGGAAAATACAATAATAGGAAGTAATAGGACGGTATGAAAGCATGGAGCCTCTTGCTTCAGCCAACTATCCAAACAACCGATATAAACAAAGAATTGCAGATGGCAGAAATCTGAAACAAAAACAAAATATTGTTGGAGAAATTCAGCTGGTCTGGCAACATCTTTGAACAGAAAACAGAGTTAACGCCGAGTACAACGCTGTTCTGAGGAGGGGTTGCTGGACTCAAAGTTAACATTTTTTTCTCCCCACAGATGCTGCCAGAACTGCCGAGTTCCTTCAGCAATTTCTGTTTTTATTGCTTTCCAAGCAACTGTTTGGTAATGTAACAGTCAAGGTTGCAACCAGCAGAAAGAAAATCAAAAATGACAATGGCATGAGATGTCATGTTTTAACTGCGTATGACAAAAGGAAAATCATTATTGCCTGAAAGATAATGTGGTATGAACAGGCCTGGAGAAGCCATCTACACGTCCTTATTAAATCCATTTACACTAAATATTGAACATGGGGCCAATATGTCCTACTGTAAGTGTGTTGAAGATTAATCTTGTCATTCATGAATTAAGTGAATTATCAAAAATGTCTTTAGTTGTATAGATCTGCTGAATGGGTAAAGGGTTTAACTAACAGTGTAGTACTGAGGTAGGGTAGAGTGCTGGAGGTGTTATCTTTCAGATATGATGTAAAACCAGGGCCCCATCTGCGCCATCAGGTGGGTATCAACAGCAAGCTCTCACCCCCAACCAACATCAATAAAACAGATTATCTAAGCTTTGCAGAACACCTACGCTCGGTTCGCACTAAACAATTGCACCTCCCAGTCGCGAACCATTTCAACTCCCCCTCCCATTCTGCAGACGACATGTCCATCCTGGGCCTCCTGCAGTGCCACAACGATGCTACCCGAAGGTTGCAGGAACAGCAACTCATTTTCCACTTGGGAACCCTGCAGCCCAATGGTATCAATGTGGACTTCACAAGCTTCAAAATCTCCCCTCCCCCTACCGCATCCCAAAACCAGCCCAGCTCGTCCCTAACTTGTCCTTCCTCCCACTTATCCCCTCCTCCCACCTCAAGCCCCACCCCCATCTCCTACCTACTAACCTCATCCCACCCCCTTGACTTGTCCGTCCTCCCTGGACTGACCTATCTCCTCCCTATCTCCCCACCTACACTCACCTTTACTGGCTCCATCCCCACCTCTTCGACCTGTCTGTCTCCTCTCCACCTATCTTCTCCTCTATCCATCTTCTATCTGCCTCCCCCTCTCTCCCTATTTATTTCAGAACCCCCTTCCCCTCCCCCATTTCTGAAGAAGGGTCTAGGCCCGAAACGTCAGCCTTCCTGCTCCTCTGATGCTGCTTGGCCTGCTGTGTTCATCCAGCTCTACACCTTGTTATCTCAGATTCTCCAGCATCTGCAGTTCCTACTATCTCTATCTAAGCATCGTATTGAGTTTTATAAAATCATAGGATTCTATAGGACATTTTATCCATTTGTTTCAGCCCTTCAGCAGCATTATCAATTTAGTTTTCTATCTCTTACCCCACAGCCTGCAAGCATTTTTTGGATTCCTTCTTAAAGTTACCATGCACCACTGTCAGATATTGCATTCCAGGTCATAACTGTAAGAAACTCATTTTCAGCTCTACTGTATTTGTCACTTCAAATGTGTGGCTCCTGGTTACTAACCCATCTGCCACTGGAAACAGTATGTCCTTACTTATTCAATCAAACCTTTCTGAACACATTACTTGACCTTCTGTGTTTGAAGGACAATTTGAGATTCTCTAGTTTCTCAATCTAACTGAGTTCCCCCATCACTAGTGCCATTCCAATAATTCTATTCTTCACTCTTTAAAACTTGCCCTCCTTCCAGAAGTGTCACTACCCAAAACCAAACAATACTCCAGCTGAGGTCTATCTCAATGATTTCTAAAGGTTTGATATAATGCTTTTAGTCTATGCTTCTACTTATAAATCAAAACCTCTGTTTACCACTTGTACTGCCAACTTCAAAAACAGGTCTTTATGATACTGCACTATTTTAAACATTAAACCATTTAGTTTATATTGCATCTTCCCATTCTTCCTTGCAAAACACATCTTACTGCTCTTTGTTACTTTGTATCTACCATGTGTTTGCCTGATTCATGAGTCTCTACCTTCCTACTTTTCAGAATTTCATTTTATTTTAAATTTGTTCATGGGATGTCAGCACTGCTGGCAAGGGCAGCTTTACTTACTATCTCTAATTGCCCTGAACAAGGTAGTGGTGAGCTGATTCTTGAATCACTACAGTTCATGTGTTGTACTATGAAGTCGTCAATGTTGTAGTATAATTTGCAAATTTCAATTATTGACAATTTTGCATCCATGTTCTTCTTTAATCCCATGGGCTTCAGTTTTGCCAGTACATCTATTACTTAGTGCTTTAACAAACACTATATACACACCAACTGCCTTATTCTTGTCAATCCTCTCCATTACTTTCTCATTGAACTCAAATCAATTCAGGTAAAAATTATTTGCCTTTTAAACAATCTGTATTGGCTACCATTGGTAAAATTATGCTTTTCCTAAATGACAATTAACTTTTATATTATTAGCTTTGAAAGTTTCTCTATTATTATCTTTAGATTCAATTGGCTTTGATTAGCCAATTATCACTTTTTGCTTTTTACTGGGATTTTTTTTTTTAAAATGGGGATTTATTGGGACTCTGGGATACACAATAACACAGTCGCCGAGTTGAGGCGGATAGCCAAGTTCGGTACCCACGAGGACGGACTCAACTGGGATCTTGGGTTCATGTTGCACTACGGGTGACTCCTTCCCCTCCCCGCCCTCTCTCTCTCACACACTCCCCCTGCCTCCTCCCTCTCCCCTCATTGTTTAATACATCCTCATGAGTGGTGTCACCCTTTGTTTTTTTTAAAAACTTATAAATTCTGTGTCTGATTCCAACTCTCTCACTAACACCTGAAGGAGCGAGGCTCTGAATGCTTGTTTTCAAATAAACCTGTTGGACTATAACCTGGTGTTGTGTCATTTCTGATCTTGTCCACCCAAATACAACACCAGCACCTCCACATCATTCTTTTTATGGAACAGGGCATACGTTTATATTCCTTCAACCCTCAGAAACCAGATTCATATCTAAGGGGTGAAGGATTGTGACTACAGCTCCACAATTTCCATGTTCCTACCCAAAGTGGCTGTCTTTTCCACTGATAACCTTTTACATGCCTCTTTAGCTTCTCTACTATCTTTCCCTGAAAATGTAACAATGGCAGTATTCTCTTCTCTAGTGAGCACAATCCTCTCCAGTGTAGCTGAGTACACTGTTTTATTCCCAAAAATCGCCCATCTGATCTCAATTAAGTAATTGTGGGGAAGCCCCAACACACCATCAGGTATTTCCCATTTATAATCTAGGGCTGCAACCTGAAAATCCAGCACCCTTCCAAGATCACAGGGCAATTTGAAGATTATGATGCAATTGGTTTATGAACAACTGAATTTCAATCCCATATAACAAGGACAACTACCCCTCTTGAGAGAGGCTGGAAACTCATTATTGTTCTACCATAATTTTTGATCAATTGTATTTTCATTTAATTTCCTACTACCTGTGAATTTGTCCCAGCTAATGCTTGCAACATCTGCTGCACAAAACGCTGTTGTCCATCAGTTCCCATTGTGCTGCTTGCTCCAGTGTTTTCATTTGAGCCAGGTGCAACTGTGCCAATTCCTCCAATACCACTGCCATACCTTAGAGAGAGAAAAATTAAACAGAATACTTCAAAGCTTCTAACAGAGAATAATGAGATATTATCAACATTAACACCATTGTACAAATAAAATGTTTCCAAAAGCTGTGTCACAAGCACTGTGCCTAAAATTGTGTCACATTTAATTTACAGCAATAAGCACAAACAAATATTTCAGCAAAAGAATACAGATGAGGTTTGTTCTGATGACTTTGTATGTCGTTCAAGTTGAAATAGCACTGATTACAGGTTACGTTTAACAGGAGCAAATTAAACAGATCAGTTAAATAAGCTTGAACAGAGCAAAATAGTCTTTTTCCCTAAAAAAAACGACTGCAGAAAACAGAAACGTGTGTTGTAGCCACATTAATAGCAACTTAGTCACAGCCTACATTAAAGTCCTTCAAAATAACAGTGATAACTGAAAGCACAGAGCACTTTTTTGTCAAGTGAACCCTTTGGTTTGTTTTTGCATAAGTTTTAACAAGGAACAAAGTGATCAGATTTGTAAGTGATACAAGTCAGCTTTTTTTTAAACTCGAGAGAAGCAATGCATAGTGCTGCAGGGGCTTCATAAAAAAAATGCTATAAATGTGCCTTCTCAAAAGAAGGATCTTTCACAGGTTGCAGTCTTAGCTGGCTAGGGTAGCATGTGTTACTTATTCCTAGCTGCTCAAGAGATTAATGAGCTGCCTTCTTCATCCAGTGCAGTCTGTATGATCTAAATACACCATATATTGTTAGGAAGGGAGTTCCAGGATTTTGATCCAGCTACAGTAGAGGTAACAGTATTCCTGGTCAAGTCAAGGTGTTGTACAGGGAATGAATGCTGAAGGTGATAGATGGGATGCCAAATAGCAGGTTTTGTCCTAGATGGCACTGGGCCTCTTCAGTGTTGAACAGACACTCATCTAGACAAATCGAAAAATATTCTATCATACGATTGATCTGTACCTTGCAGATGATGGACAAGCTCGAAAGTCAGGAAGCAAGTTGCTCATTGCAGAACGCCTACCCTCCAACTTCTGTTGTAACCAGATAGTTATATGGCTAGCCCAATTCAATTTCTGGTCAATGGTAACCCCCAAGATGTTGATAGTGGGGGATTCAGCAATGGTAATGCAATTGAACATCAAGGGGCAATGGTGAGATTCTCTCTTGTTAGAACTCACTACTGCCTTGCACTTAAGTGGCAGGATTTTGATCCAGCTACAGTGGAGGACCAGGAATACTGTTACAAGTCAAGGTGTTGTACTGGGACATCCATGCCACATATCAGCTCAAACCTGAATGTTTTGTCTGTCAGGCTCGGCTGTGAACACAGACTTTCTTCAGTGTCAGGTACTACAATCAGCTACAAGTCCAGATCTAACTTTATGATGGAAGAAAGCTCATTAATAAAGCACTTGAAGATTGTATGCACGGTTGGGCCTAGGGCATCATTGTAAGCAATGCCTACATTAAGAGGAAGCAAATTAGACTGGTCTAAGTCTATAGCTGTGGTCAGGAAAATTCTAAGAAACTAAGACTTGATTACAAGCCAAACCTGGATTGTCTGTACTTCATATAATAATTATATTTAATCCATATTAATCCCAGTGTCAACTACACTTCGATACATTAAACACGACTAACTTTCGAGCAGAAACTGAAACACGAGGGAAAAAAGGAATTGAAGAATATATTGATTGGGTTAGATGGAGATGAATGGGAGAACATTCATATTGACCACAAATGCAAGCATAAACCCATAGGAGCAAATGGCCTCATTATTTTTACAAAACAATATTATTTAGGTCTAACAGTATTTTCATTTATTCTTGGAACAGCAAATAACTTGTTCCATTGCAAAACTCTTACCCTGGCAGAAGCCCTGGGGCCTCGGTAGATAAGGTCTGCAGGCCTTGCTGAATCTGTAGCAAAGCCTGCATGGCTCTTGGATTTGACATAGCAGACAATGTTTCAGGGTTCTGCATCTGAAATTACAAGAAGATGGTAGCTTGGTTAAGGCTGAAAAGTTTGAGTTTCATACATTTTTGCAGCATAAGCTTTAAGAGGCTCCAGCACACACTGCAGCATTGGTACAATTCACCAAACGATTGAGTCAGAATTGGTACTAGATTGCACTACAGAACTAGCAGCTATACATCTGCAGGCCATCAATAAGAGTTGCACATTTTATCAATGTTTAAGTCAATTCAACCTCCACAGAGTAGAGTAAGAAAATGCAAGTTACCATAGATCATTGCATATTGCACCAATGTGGTGGTAAAATCATGAGGGAGAAGGGTACACCAGAATGAGGACAAATTTGGATTGTACTGAGAAACATTTGACCAATGGATCTTGGATTTTACACAGTACCACAACGTTTTGTGAAGTTTTAAGAAGGTGGTTTATCGAGTATAGCTGAGGGGGTATCCAAGACCACAGAGGATTTAATGTATTTATTTGCAGATTGTGAAGCATGCAAAGTAAACGAAATGTGAATAGCTAAACCAATTTAATCCACGTACACTAGCAAAGATTAAACCATTTTATGCATTATCTTTAGATCTTAGATGTGGATGATCTGTAACAGATCATTTTACTTTACAGCACTCATACAATTTATCTGTGCAATGATGGTGTATATTTACACCATCCACCTACTCTCAATCACGAGCAATTTCTGACTGAGGAAATTAAGCCACAAACAACTGATTTACCTGCTGTAGAAAGTTAGGGATCTGTTGCCTCATTTGGTCTTGTAGCTGAGGGTTTCCAGCAAACAATGGATTGTTCAGCATGATCTGCAATATACAAAGAACTGCCTCAGCTCATTCATTTGAATGAATCTTTTATTTTCTGATATTGTGTTACAATAGAACCTTGTTAACAAATCTGACCAATTTGTTTACTTCACAGAGTATGCAATAAGTATACTACGTGTTAGCTCAAATCTAAACAAGAATCACTTCAACTTTGATTAAAATATTTCCATTGCAATTATAAAAACGTAATCATTAAAGTGTTGTTTCAATTGTTCAACTTTGAAAATTATACTAGCCTCTACGAATTAAGTTCTGAGATATATTAAGTTATTCAATGACAGACAAGACAATGTTACAAAGTATCGGCTCCCTCCCAAAAAGTACCACACAGTCAAACATTAGTTTGTTTAAAGTGAAACAATTTCACAAAATTAGGACACAAGTAGCTACATGTTTGCCAAAGGTCCAACAACTAGGAAAGAGAAAAGGAGAAATGGAAACGTTTGGGGTAGAATTCAAGAACTTAGGCCCAGGTGGCTGAAGGTATAATGGTAAAGTGATTAAAATCAGATGGGAGATGATGGTGTAGTGATAACAACACTGGACAAATAATCCAGAGGCACAAGTTAGTGCTCTGGAGCTAGTGGAATGTTAATTTAATTAATTAAATCTGGAATTAAAACCTAATCATCAGTAATGATATCAAAAGAGCTAGTACTGATTGGTTGTTTAAAAACTCATCTGATTCACTGCTGTCTCTTACAGAAGGAAATCTGCCACCATTTTGTTTGGTTTGGTCTACATGTGACTTCAGATTCAGTGTGGTTAGTCTTAATTTAAAAAAAAAACATTTATAGGGTATGTACATCACTGGCTAAGCTAGTATTTATTGTCCATCCCCAAGTGCTATTGAAAAAGGTGGTTGTGAGTTCACTTCTTGAACCACTGCAGTCCATATGATATAAGTGCATACCCAGGAAGGGAGCTGCAGGAACATTGATATAGTTTCAAGACAGGCTGTTGGTGGCTCACAGAGGATCTTGAAGATGGTGGTGCTCCCATGCATCTGTAACCGTGGTCCTCCTTTGTGGAGGTTGCAAGTTTCGTAGGTCCTATTGCGGGAGCCTTGGAAAGGTCTCACAATGCACCCTGTAGATAGTATGCACTGCTACCACTGCGCTTTCAAGGTGAAGGGAATGACTACTGAAGGTGTTGGATAGGTTGCTAATTAAGCAGCTACTTTGTTTTGGATAGTATCCATTTCTGCAGCAGAAACAGGCCATTGAACACATCGAGCCTTCTTTGCCATTCAATGAGATCTGATAATCCCAATTCCAATCTTTTGCCCTTTCCCCATAACCCTCAATTCACTTACTGGTTAAAAATCTGTCCAACTCAGCTGTGAATATGCTTAATGACCCAGTCTCACTAGTCCTCTGCAATAAAGAAATCTATGGATTCACCACATCTCTGCCTTAAATGGATGACTCCTTATTCTAAGATTAAGCCCTCTTGTCCTAGTCTCTCCCACAAGGGAAAATACTTTTCCACATCTACACTGTCAAGTCCCCAACAAAACCTGTATGTTTCAATAAGATTGTATCTCATTCTTCTAAACTCCAATGAGTTCAGCACATACCTGACATCAGCGCAGTGAATTTTCTCTGTACTGCCTCCAAGTCTTTCTCTCCTTAGAGAAAAGTATTCATAGTATTCCAGCTGTGGTCTGAATAGTGTCCTGTATAGTTTTAGTAAGACCTCTGAAGTAAGGCCAAAATTCCATTTGCCTTCCACATTATCTGATGAACTTACATGCTAACTTTTCACGATGTCTGCATGAGGACTCCCAAATTCTTCTGTTCAATAGCTTTCTGTAGTCCTTCTCCATTTAAATAATATTCAGATCCTCTATTCTTCCTGCCGAAGTGTATAACCTCATATTTTCCCACATTATATTCCATCTGTCAAGTTTGCTGACCATTTGCTTAACTTGTCTATATCCCTCTGCAAACTCTGTCATCCTCACCACCTGCCTTCTCATCTACTTTTATGCCATCACAAACCTGGCTACAGTACATTGACTTTTCTCAATCAAGTCAATAATATAGACTGTAACTAAGCATGATCCCTGTGGCATCCTCTATTAGTTAGCCAATCCTGTACACTAATATACTACCTCCAACACCACAGGTTCTTAAGTAGCTGAACATGTAGTACCTTATCAATTGCCTTCTGAAATTTTGTATATTTTGTCCATTGCATCCCCTTTACTTATCCTGTTTGTTACCTCCTCAAAGAGCTCCATTAAATTTGTTAGGCATGATTTCCCCCTTCATGAAGCCAGGCTGATTCTGTTTGATCGTATGAATTTCGAAATGATCCTACTGCATCCTTTATAATAGTCTCCAACATTTTCCCCAATATGATGTTAAGCTAACTGGCATTTAGCTACCTGTTCTTTTTGGTCTCCCTCCCTTTATAAATAAAATTCATTTATGAAATTATATTGGCAATTTTCCAATTCTTGGGAACTTTTCTACAATCTAAGGATTCTAGTGCATCCACTTCCTCTGCAGTTACTTTTTTTAAATATCTTAGGCTGCTCCCATCAGATATAGGAGACTTATAGGTCGTTAGCCCCATTAGTCTCTCTTTTTCTCTCGTGCTAGCCATGGTGTTTATTTGCTCTCCTTTTGCCCCTTGATTATTTAGTAATTGTGAAATACAATTAGCATCTTCTACTAATGTACTTATTCAACTGCTTTGCCATTTCCCAGCCTCATTCTCTAAAAGGCCTGTGTCAACATTGGTCTTTCTCTTCCTTTTAAACAGTTTCTTGCTGTCCATCTTGATATTATTTGCAAGTTCACCTTCTCTCTCTATTAGTTTAGGTAATTTTTGTTGGCTTTTAAAAAAAAACTTTACCAACCCTCTGGCTTACCAGCAATTGTTGCCACATTGAATGCCTTTTTCTTTTGATTTTATGCTATAACTACAATTGGCTTATCCTCTTCTCACTGGGGCATATTTTTGCTGTGAGACATGAACTATTTTCTTAATTGCCTACCATTGTTCCTCAACCTGTCTTTCCTTTCCCAGTCTACTCCAGCTAGCGCTGTCCACATTCCTTTACAATTACTCTTAAAGTTTGTCAAGCTTATATTGTTAGAGCTGCACTCAGTGAGTGGACAGTATTCCACTGCACTTCAGATTTGTGCTTTGTAGACAGTAGGAGGCTGAGAGGTGACTTTATAGAGATTACAAAATCATGAGGGGCACAGATAAAGTGATTAGCAAAGGTCTTTTCCCCAGGGTAGGGGAGTCCAAAACTAGAGGGCATAGGTTTAAGATGAGAGGGGAATGATTTAAAAGGGACCTTAGGGGCAATTCATTTACAGAGGGTGATGCCTATATGGTACAGACTATCAGAAGAAGTGGTAGAGGTGGGTGCAATAACAACATTTAAAAAGACATGTGGACAGGTTTAGAGGAATGTGGGCTATATGCAGGCAAATGGGTCTAGTTCAGTTTAGGAACCTGATCAGCATGGATGATTTGGGCCAAAGGGCCTGTTTCCATGCTGTATGACTGAGATGGTAAACATGCATGGGTTTTGATTTGATTTGACTTATTGTCACATGTACTGAGATACAGCGAGAAGTATTGTATTGCATGCTAACCAGACAAATCATACCTTACATTGGTACATCAGGGTAACATAACAGAGTGCCGAATACAGTGTTACAGCTACAGAGAAAGTACAGAGAAAGATCAACTCAAATATATGAGAGGTCCATTCATAAGTTTGATAACAATGGGGAAAAAGCTGTTCTCAAATGTGTTTTCAAACTTTTGTATGCTCTCCCCGATGGAAGAGGGTGAAAGAGAGTATAACCAAGGTGGGAAGGGGTCCTTGATTATGTTAGCACCTTTCCCGAAGCAGCAGGAAGTGTAGACGAGTCAGTGGAAGGAAGGCTGGTTTACATGATGGACTGAGCTGTGTTCACAATTTCTTGTGGTCTTGGGCACAGGACTTGCCATACCAAGCTGTGATGCATCCAAATAGGATGCTTTCTATGATGCATCTATAAAAATTTGTAAGAGTCATTGTGGACGTGCCTAATTTCTTTAACCTTCTGAAGAAGTAGAGGCGTAGTGTTTTCTTGACTGTAGTGTCAATGTGGATGGACCAAGATAGATCATTGGTGATATTTACTCCTAGAAATGTGAAGCTCTCTACCATCTCCACCATTGATACAGAGAGGGGCATGTCCTGCTTCCTGAGGTCAATGACCAACTCCTTTGTTTTGTTGATATTGAGGGAGAGATTGTTGTCTTTACACCAAGCCACTAAGCTATGTTTCTCCTTCCTGTACTGTTATCGTTGTTTGAGATGCAACCCATTACAGTGGCGTCATCTGCACATTTCTAAGTGGAGTTAGAATGGCATTTGGCCACACTGTCATGCCAGGAGGAGTAACTCGCCACAGAATTCCCAACCTCTGACCTGCCACAGTATTCACATGGCTAGACTAGTTCTGTTTCTCGTTAATAGCAACCCTCCAGGATTTGAGGAATTCAGTGATGGTAATGTCAAAGGGTTAAGATCGGATTCTTTCTTGTCTGGCATGAATGTTACTTGTCATTTGTCAACCCAAGGCTGAATGCTGTACAAGTTTTGCTGCATTTGGATACTGACTGTTTCAGTTGCTGAGGAGTTGATATGGTGTCAAACATTGCACATCCCCACTTCTAACCTTATGATGAAGGAAAGTTCATATTGATGAAGCAGCTGAAGATGGTTGGAACAAAAACAGAAGTTGCTGGAAAAGCTCAGCAGGTCTGGCAGCATCTGTGAAGAAAACATCAGAGTTAACGTTTCGGGTCTGGTGACCTTTCCTCAGAACCGGTTGGACCTGGTTTCCTAACCTGAGGAACTCAAGGGTCCTTGAGGTGGCAATGTCCCTAACTCTGAACTAGAAGGCCCAGGTTGAAGTTCCATTTGGTCCAGATGTGTAAGATCTCTGAACAAGGCGATTAGAAAACGCCAACTCAGAAGAACTGCTGCAGTGACATCCTATAGCGGAGATGATGGAATTCCAATGAATGTGATTGACAGGGCCTCAACTATGTCAGATTAATCTCTTGCACTTCCACCCTCACCTCTTCTTCCTGCCAGAACGATAATAGGGTTCCACTTATCCTCACTTTTCATCCCTCCTACAGTACTCACTCTTTGTTTTTAAGTGTGCACGGATCTGTGAAGTCTATACGTTGGCAGATCAATTAGGGTGTGGAATCACATGGTGGTGACACAGCTAACCAGCTCAGACAGAATATTGCCCAAAGTGAAAGTATCATTTTTCGCCACTTCTGGCAGGACACCACCACCATACACATCCTCCACTCTCCTGTCAATGATCCATGGGGAGCATTCCCTCCATGACACCTTGCTCCACTCTTCCAAACACCTAATGCTTCCTCATTCCCCATGACACATGCCCATGAAATCACAGGTCCATCGCTTGCCTGCTGACATGTATCCTCAACTGTCCAAAGCCCAAAACCCAACTTCAAGATGAAGCAGCATTTTACTTGCACTTATTTAAATCTAGTCTATTGTATTCACTGCTAATAAATATGGTCTCCATTACATTGTTGAGATGAAACACAGACTGGACTGGGAGACTGCAAAACACTGGCTCACTTTGCAGAATGCCCCCACTCTGTCTATTCATTGTAGGATTGTTTAGTCCTCTCTAATTCATATTGCTTTTGCGATTTCGCATGCAGTCCTGTGTAGTTACTTTACTTGGTTAATATCTGTTTTAGACAGATCTGGCACTGCTCCAGTTAATGCCCTCCTGTACTCTTCACTTAACCAAGGTTCATACCCTGGCTTGATGGTAATGGTAGAATAGGGAATATGCTGGGCCATGTGACTGAATACAATTCTCCAGCTGAATGCCTACAGCACCTCCTGAATGCTCCGTCTTGAGTTGCTAGATCTATTAAAAAAAAATCTATCTACCTCATTCAGTCCAAAGCAGGACTAAAGACCTAAAACTAACTTTAAGGGTAGTTTGAGATGGGCCTTGCCACCAGCACCCATATCCAATGAAATAACTTACAAACGATGAATTAAAGAAGCACAGATATCTGAGAGGTGTGTGGCTAAAGGAGATTAGAGGTGGAGGAGAATTGGAAAAGAAGAATGAGAATTTCAAAAGAGGTGTTGCCTGACCAGGTGACAACCTAGATCAACAAGCACTGTGGGAACTGGATTTGGAGACAGGCTACGCACAGAGTTTTTGTGATACTGAGTACACTAAATAGGGTCATTGGCAAGCGTGTGTTGAAATTATTGGGAGCACCACTGATCAGAGTTTCAGCAGATGAGCTAAGGCAGGAGTGAAGTGGAAGTAGATGCTCTTAGTAATGACATGGATTATGTAGTAGAAGCTCATTCTGAGGTGAAATATAACTCTCAAGGTTGTGAACACTTTGCTTCAGCCTCACAGTTGCCATGGAGAGTAATGTCATTAAGAGACATGTTTGTGACAAGGATTAAAATGCTATTATTTTTCCCAGCATTTGAGTGGAGGAAAATTTCTGCTTACCTTGTTCTAGATGTCAGACAATCAATGTGACAATTTAGAGACAGAGGAATAGTTAAGAGACTAGATGGTGAGAATGAGATGGATTTGTAGTAACTGGCACTCAGTTTTCTGTGGCTGCGACCAGGTAAATAGAAGGGGCCTCAAGGATTTACCTTTGGGAAACACCAGAAGTACAGCCATGTGGGAGTAGAAAGATAACCTATTACAGGTGATTCCCTAGCTGCGACTAGATAGATACAAATGGAACTTGAAGGCAATCCCACGTATTTGAAGGGAGAGAATGCAGTCAACCTGTCAAAGGCTGCAGATGCCCTTTTACTAAGACGGGTGAGACGGAGGAGATTTCAAATAGGGGTTCTGATCCAATGAGATATCCAGTAATACTCTTTAGTGTTGGATCAGACCAAGATCAAGTTCAGCCGTAATGGAAGCCCACAATCAAATAACAATGGAAATTTCTAGACTGACATATTAACTATGGATCTTTTTTGATCAAAAAATATCTAAATTAAAAGATTAAAAAGGAAGAAATTGAGAGATAAACAATTTTATTGGCGCTGATTGTACTTAAAAAAGTGATTATGAAGTCAAGTTGAAAAACAAAATCACCACCAGTTGAAATAACAGACATCAAATCTACAGATCACAATTTTGCAATACAATTCAAAGCTTAATGTTCATTACTTTGGACCTTTGAACACCAAAGTCTTAAGTGACCAATTAGTTACCAACATTCAAAACATAATTGGTTAACCTTAAACTCAAAAGCAGTGTAGCTTCAAAATTTCAGACAGTAGCATTTCCATCTCTGTTAGAAAATTGTAGTTTGAAATTCCAATCTGGAACATCACTACTTAAGGTGACACTGCACTAGTGTGCCTGTGTTACATTGTCACCTGCACTATTGTTTGTATGAGACATTAAACTGAAGCTGGTCTGTTTTAGGTCAGTATTAAAAGGTCTGTTGTATTAAAAGTAGAATAGGGAGCTTTCCAAATTGTTAGCATCAAGACTTTTCCCTCAACTAACATCACCGACAAATATTAATTTGACAATTTATCTCAATTCAGTTTTTTTGTGGAGCAGAATGGTGGTCATATTTATATGTTAAATGCTGTTCTTTAAATATGTCACATTATTTCAAAATACAAACGCTACTGTCTGGTACATTTAATTTATAGAGACTACAATGAGATATCTGGGTCTGTACCTGTGCAGCAAGATCAGGATTCTGACTCAGGGATTGCATTATACTCCTCATGTAAGGCGCTGAGAGCATGTTCTGCATGAGCTGTGGGTTTTCTGTGATCTGCTGCAATAAGCTCTGCATACCTGGTGTGTTGAACATACCAGATCCTGCTGTGGAAAAGATCATTAAATAAGTTTAGAACTTCACAAACATAGGTTGGTAATGGATGCTCCAGTAGGTTACCCCTAGAACTGAAATCCTATGCCCAGGATTAGTATGCCAGTGGTGTAGATATGGGAGAGGTAAAGAGGGAGGGACAAAAAAAAAAACAAAAAAAAAAAAAAAAAAAAACAGAAAAAAAAACAGGAAAACAAAATGAGAAGGTAAGAGATACAGCAGGAGAGGGAAAGACATAAAAGGAAATAGAAGAAGAAATATACTTATCACGAGATGCCTACCATTAAGAAATGCCAAATTTTCACTTGGCACAGCAGAAGAGAGCTCTTAAGAAGGATGATGCAATGTCTATTTAGAAACATTTGTACATTAAGAACTTCTTTGTAGTGTATTGCAAGCCTTTGGAAGCTTTTCTTTAGAAGAATCAAAATATTAAACAATAGAAACAAAGATTGAGTTATCGCTCATGAATAGTTTTCTTTGCAGGACACTAATTTAACAAAAATCTTAAATGCAATTCTAGCATGTACTGGACTCATCTTACATATACTGGTTAAGCATTCAATTTAATAAACTCATTAACGAATTTATAAGTTTTTGCAATTTGTGGTTTTAACTAGTGGAAAGAAAAAGAACCAATGAATGAAATGCGTACATTCTCTCGAGCTCTTGTACCATTGCTGACAAAGGAATTTTACCTCCCAATCCAGCTCCTAGACTTGGCGTTGTAGACTGACTGGTAGTTGCACCTGTGGTTGTACTCGTAGGGGTCTGTGAACTTGACAGGGAAGCCCAGGGATTAGGCAAAGGGTCTCGGTTCTCTGTACGTGATGGCTGATTGCCTCCATCAGGATTACTCACCAAGGATGCAAAAGGATTGCCCCCAAACTAGAGTAAAAAATGAAACACAATCTAGTCTCTACAAAGCAATAATCAGTCTTTTCATTCCATCTTTTAATGATGTTGAATGCTTAACATACCTATAGGTCATGTCCCAACTTACTGATGTCAAAAACATAGCTCAATTTTCATTTAA